GAGACTAGCTGGGATGACAAGATATTTGGAAGATTTTTCACTGCTTCAAAATATAACAATAACGAAGAGGACTAATGTAAAAGATATATATTTCCCGTATAAGTTGAACAAGCACACTTTACAATGTTAAAATTTAATTATTATTGTGCGTCTTGATAACAAAATTTTTGTTGATGTTCTGAGCTACTGAGAAACAAAAAATACGGGGAAAAATTCTGGAGAAAACAAAATAATGCTCCTGATTTTAAATGAGGAAAACCTATTGCAATAGATAATTAAGTATGTTTATTAAACGCATTAACCAAAACTTGGAACGATGTCGCTGAACTCGTTAGCTTTGGCTTGTATAAATAATAGTGAGGGTGTTATATATGTATACTTCCCAGGGCTTTCCGTATGGCAGGCAGGCTTCTTGAGCAGCAGCACAGCTGCTTTCTATCAAATCTGCCGCTTGAGGCGCTGCGGTTAGTCTGATTAAACTTTTGAGGCTGAGTAGACAGTCTTAGCGATATCGGATCTTTGACTTTGGTTTGTGACACGAACAGGTTCTGTCAGATTTTAGTGCATTTTGAGTTGTTTTTACCCAAAATTAATTTTTACAGTTTGAGTTATTATCCTAGATCAAGACTCACGCTAGTTTGTCGTGAGGCCAAAACAACCTGCAGGACACACTGTGTTATTAACAGGAGTGATAGTTTAGTAATTTTCTACTTTCTGTAGTTCGAACTGTGATAATCCAAACTATTACATATCTTCAGTGGATGTGCTCTACTGGACTTATCTACTTTCAAGGCAATCCATTAAGAAATACACGAGACATAAAGTCTCTAATTTTATTTGAATTTCTTTTTTTGTTGTTTTTCTTTAATTTTTTTTTCAAATTTGGCAGAATTATGGATCTTTACAACCTGCAGTTAGATTTCAAATTTGGTCTAAATATAAGTCATATGTGCAAAGTTATTTAACAAAAACCGCTCAGTTTTGACAAACATTTTTGCGCACACCTACACAAAAAGTCACGTAAGCTATCGGTCTACAATTTTTACAACATCTTCATCTAAGAGTAAAGATGGACTGTTTTTAGTTTTTGTTATTGGGATTAAAGACATTTGATTTAGAGCAGCAAGATTATAGGATGAAAGGACGTGTACATACATAAGTATTGGTTAGGCCAAGCAAACTATATTAGCAGTTTCTAGATCAAGTTTTCAAAAGAATCATACGGGTGCTCGGTTATTATTGATTATTTATTGCCAACGTTTAAGCACAAATTTGCAAAATTTTATGAAATTCTCCTTATTAAAGAGCGTCACGTGATATAAGCTTAAGGAATCGTAAATAATGATGCTTGATACGGCTTTAACATGTGCATGCGGGTGTTGACAAAAAACTGTTAATCTTGTTTCCATGGTGTTACTATAAAGAAAGTCCTTAACACTGTTTTAGAGGAAAAACTACTGCCCTATTTTAAAGAATATGGTTGGTTATGTTAGGTATAGGTCTGTTCCGAATAATAGGGTTGCGATCCCAAAGCTATTATTGATTACTATCGAGTGTTATTTTCTTACTTGTTGTGGTTTGTTGGTGTGTATTGAAAAAAAAGTCATGATATATAATCAAAAACACCTTAGGTGTGAAAATCAATGTGCGGCTGTCTCAAATATTTGGTTTTATATATCTATGAAAAAATTGGACTGATCAACATTTACTTCGACAGCAAAAAGCTTCGTTTCTATAATTCAGCAGTTTTAAAGTAAAATGAAAACTGCTGAACATAAATATTAGGTGCTTTAAAATGTACAATCTGTAAACAGCTTAAATAAATTTATAATAATTATTGTAATTAGTGCGCTTGAGTAAACATATTCTTATCACATAAATAATTAAAAAAATTAATATAAACAAGCCAATAAAAAGTACGTTTCAGTACATGACACCTATTTACACAAATTAACGAAATATTCAACTATCTTAAAACATTGACGTTATGAGACCTACTTGTTAACGAAATATTCAACTATCTTAAAACATTGACGTTATGACACCTACTTACACAGATTAACAAATATTCAACTATCTTGAGACATTGACGTTATGACACCTACTTACACAGATTAACGAAATATTCAACTATCTTGAGACATTGACGTTATGACCCCTACTTATTCACGAAATATTCAACTATCTTGAAACACTGACGTTATGACACATTATTAACGAAATATTCAACTATCTTGAAACATTGACGTTATGACACCTACTTACACAGATTAACGAAATATTCAACTATCTTGAAACACTGACGTTATGACACCTACTTATTAACGAAATATTCAACTATCTTGAAACACTGACATTATGACACCTACTTATTAACGAAATAGTCAACTATCTTGAGACATTGACGTTATGACACCTACTTACACAGATTAACGAAATATTCAACTATCTTGAAACACTGACGTTATGACACCTACTTATTAACGAAATATTCAACTATCTTGAAACACTGACGTTATGACACCTACTTATTAACGAAATATTCAACTATCTTGAAACACTGACGTTATGACACCTACTTATTAACGAAATATTCAACTATCTTGAAACACTGACGTTATG